TCCTAACTTTGCCCACTCTCCTTTTGCTTTCTTCCCTCTCTACTTGTTTGGAAGTTATATGTCTTATGTTCATTCTTTAGTGGTTATTCCAGCTAATATATATTAGGTTGGTGCAAAAATAATTGCAGTTTCTGCCATTTCGATGCAATTACCTCTGTACCAACCTATTTAGTTTTTCAAGTCTTATCAGTATCTTTACTTTCCTCCTGAATAAAGAACCTGAAAATTAGTGTTGTAATCTCTCCCTCAACTTCACATGCTATTGTTGTCCAGCATTTTTATTCTAGTCTGTTTCTCTCCCATAAATTAAGCATTCTTCTTACAGTGAAGGCTTTACCAATCTCTGTTCAGTGTTCCTTCTTGCATCTTATTCTCCATCTGAGACCATTTTCCTTCCACCTCAAGGACAACCTTTTGTGAGTGGAAACTACTTTTGTCTGAAAATGTTTTTATTAGCTCCTTCTTTTAAAAGTGTCAATGGGGGTAAGCTTTCATGGTAAGTTCCTTTTTTTCTTAAAATCATGAAGATAAATTTCAGTTTTCTGGCTTTCACTGTTGACACCGAAGTCACCCATCTGGCTGGTTTTCTACAGGTAGTCTGTATTTTCTCTCTAGAGAAATTTTCTTTGGTTTTCTGTACCTCAGCCTGATGTATTAGATAAGGTGGTTTGTCTTGCTTGAGATTCACTGGGCTCCCTAAGTCTGCGGTTTGATGCCTTTCATCCAATCCTAAAAAATTTCTCTTTGAATATTGCCTCCACCATCTCCCAATGTTCCAAGTAATGTATATTAGATCTTACTCAATTGTCGTCTCAACCTCTTGCCTATTTTCTATTCTCTCTTTATCTGGAATGCATTCTATGTAATTTCTTATCTTCCAGTTCACAAATCCTCCTTCAATTTGTCTAATCTACTTAATCCATCCATTGACTTTTTACCTCATATATGTATTTTTCACTTCTAATTCAAAAAGGTTTTTCCACTACTAATTCAAGGGGTTCATTAATCGTTATTTCATTATAGTCTGTGCAACAATGCCAATGTCTGAAGTATTTTTTAAAAATCAGCTTCTGCATCTCCATTTTCACTCATTGTGCCTTATTTCTTTGTTCAGTTTCTCATTTTTTAGCAAGACCACTCATTTGCCTTGAAAGTATCTACGGGAATGGTTCTGAGGCCTAAGAGGAATTGCATTTGCTTCTGGAAATCATCTGGAAGCATAAGCAAAGCATGGACGGAAAGCCCACAGAAGGCCATTTGTGGTTATGAATTGTCAGGTAGGATACTCTACACCTTCCACGCGGCACTATGGTAGAGACAAAGGAGTTCCTTGCTGCCCCCTTCTACGGAGTGTTTATTTTTGTTCACTTTTACACTGAGGGTGTCAGCTTTATGAGGGAACCTACTAGATTTCTCATTTCCTGTTGTCCTTACTTTGTGTAATCACTAAAATAGGTTATGGTCTGCTGAATTTGGCAAAAATTCTGAGGAGAAGCTGGCTTTGGCAGTTACTTCTGCGGATCCCAGATTTTGCTTCATTTTGAAGAACTGTAGGGTCCTTACTTTTGTGCCTTCTCAGCAATATGTTTAAAAGTATTTTTTTATAAATATATTCACCCAGAATCTCGGTTGCTTCTGCTGAAAGGACTTTTCAGAATATCTAATCCAGCACACTGCCAAAAACAGAACCCTGAATTCGTTCCAAATATGGACACCAACACACTCCCCCTGCCCCGATTCTGCCAAGAATGAACTGTAAGACCAACGCTAAGCCTGCCTTCAAGGTCAAAGGAAAAAATTGAGGTGAAGACAAAAAGTGGTTAACTGACTGACACATCACCACAAACATCCCATATTTCTTTCTCCTCAGGCACAAATGTTTTATGACACTGTCCATTACCACTTGAGATAGAGGGGGGGAAAGACAGCAAGGTAGTAATACCTTTGTGTCCTAAATAAAAGTGGAATAATATGTCCCTTTTCAACAATAGAGAAGTATATGGAGATAAGTATAGCACTTTTTCTCAGATAAAATTTTTTTTAAAATAGCTAGTTGCCACATGCTTATAGCTCCTACAATTATAACAGTGTAAAGCTCTTAATCCATTCATGAATAGCTGTCCCTGGTCATTTTACACTGCATAAAAGGAGAAATATATGTCAGGTTAAAATGATGTAGACAAATCAAAATGATTGTTTTTATGCTTTCTCTCTTACGTCCTCCAGCTTTCTCTTCATCCATGTCTGTCTCTAAATCCTAGACAAATCAGTTGATGAACTAATGCTTTAAGTGACAGAGTCAGGCAACGTAAAAGTCAGTCCTAAAGCTGTGTGGAAAAGAAAATGTTCCTAGCAATATCTTGTTTATTTTTTTGAGCTTTCCGGAGGTAGCTTCTCTCTGGAGTGATTTAAAGTTTCCAGATGTGATCTCCTGAGCATTATCTACGTATGATTTCCAGGATAAGAAGCTTCTCCTATCCAGATAGCACACACCAACCTATCACTTACCATTATCTCAAACTCTACTGAAAGCAACGCATTCCTTTGAGATAAACATTGTTTCCTCTCCATGAAACTAGTATTACTACCAGTGGAGTTGAAGCCAGTCATCCTGGGTTCCACTTTGAGGCTATAACCTTAAGCAAGTCACTAGATCAGTGCCTAAGTCAGTTAACTGACCAGGTACATCAAAATAACCTGGATGGGCCGGGCATGGTGGCTCACACCTGTAACCCCAACACTTTGTGAGGCTGAGGCGGGTGGATCACCTGAGGTCGGAAGTTCAAGACCAGGCTGGCCAACATGGTGATACCGTCTCCACTAAAAATACAAGAATTAGCTGGGTGCGGTGGCAGCTGCCTGCTAGTCGAGAGGCTGAGGAAGAAGAATCGCTTTAATCCAGGAGGCGGAGGTTGCACTGAGCTGAGATCGCACCATTGCAATCCAGCTTGGTTAAGGTCAAATTCCATCTCAAAAAAAAATAAAAACCTGGATGACTTACCATGATTTTAGATTCCTGAATCCCACCTACTGAATCGATTTTTGGAAACGGAACACGGACTCTGCATTTTCAACAAGCAAGTAAGAATTCTTATGTACTTGCTCATATCCATAGGGCTAGGTCCAGTCATTCTATTGGATCTATGAAAATATTAAGAACCTTTCCTTCAGATATAAAACTAGACAAAATGAGGAAAAAAGTGCTATGGAAAGACTGGTCCTTAGTTCTTCATGAGTGAGGTGTTTCCAGTTTGTAGCAAAGAATATTAGTTCAGCGAAAAAATCAAGTTGCCGACCATGCGCAGTGGCTCACCCCTGTAATCCCAGCACTTTGGGAAACCAAGACTGGTGGATCACTTGAGGTCAGGAGGTTGAGACCAGCCTGGCCAACACGGTGAAATCCCATCTCTACTAAAAATACAAAAATTAGCCAGGTGTGGTGGCATGTGCCTGTAATCCCAGCTACTCGGGAGGCTGAGGCAGGAAAATCGCTTGAACCCAGGAGGCAGAGGTTGTAGTGAGCCGAGACTGTGCCACTGCACTTCAGCCCGGGCAACAGAGCAAGACGCGGTCTTTTAAAAAAAAAAAAAATAATAAGTGGCCAAGTGAGGCCCCAGCTTTGAACTCTGCCGCGAAGTGCATCAGTGTCAAGAAACTTGTGAGATGGGACCTTTACGGATCATTCTGTGTAACACTTCATTGCACTTAGATAAGGCAGAGAGAGGTGTTTTTAAGATCAGAGATCTTGTTGTCTACGGCTATATTACCCTGAACGCATCCAATCTTGTCTGATCATAGATCTTAGCTATAAAGGATTCTCATGGATTGCAATATATGAGAAAAGACCCATCTGTTTCACTCTCTACTCTAAACCTAACCTTAACACAATGCTTAGCATATAGGAGGTACTTAGCAAATATTTATTGAATGAGGTAAAACAAATGGACCAATCCAGGAGGAAGAGGGAAGAGTAGGGTTTATATCTAGCTCAATGTCAGTGAATAAGAATGTAGCAGGGAAATAGTGTTGCTGACCAAATAGCCAGGTTTTTCTACATAGATAAAAATCATCTCAAGCTGGGCTATCAAACCTCTTTGGAAAGTAAACTCTTAATAGCTTTTTGGCTTTGCACTTCATCTTTCTAGTCTAACACTACAATTGTTAGACACAAATCAAGCTTTAAAAAGTTAACAGCTAGATTTCCGGGTCTCACTAGCCCAAAAAAGTTTTCATACCCAAGTCCTAGTTCAATAAAACAAGACAGGACCATCATCAGGAGGAGCTATATAATTTTAATCTAAAGATTTGGGCATACAGAAAGCATTTCACATAAAATCTTGAGTCTTTAATTATATGACAGGACATAAGGGCCTCAGAAAAATAAGTATCTTCCCATAATCTTAATCCTTGGTCTCTGCAGCAAAGATAGTCCCTGGTAATCCAGGTAATATGGTCTCTAAAATATTAATAAATAGGCCTGCCTATTGACTTCTGACTAAAGGACTGCATATAGCCTGAGAAGCAACACTATGGCCCAGTGATCAGTACTTATATACATGGGCCATTTGATCCTACATTTTTCTATTAGGTAGTTGGGATTGGTAGTTTCTAACCTTCTAGTCCTAAGTGTAAGAGGGCTACATATTACAGTGGGCTTTATTCAATGTTAGTTTTGTCAAATGTTGCAAAAGAATTTCAGTAATTAAAGTAAGTCATTAATTCTTTATGCTTGTTTCCTATCTCTAAGTTAGCAATAAGCTCCCATGCTTAACTTCAGCCACATTTAATTTTTAAGAATCTTCAAGAGAAAAAAATGTTACACATATAGTTAACAAGAACCTTGCTTCACAAGACTTGGGGCTGAGCTCAAAATAAATCCTGGTATAACCTCCTTCTGGTTGCTCTGGAAAGAAGGACACTGATACATAAGGAAGTAACAAAGATGAAAAGCAGGGAAGAAATAACAGCTTGAAGTGAAGAAATGACACAGACCCCCCACATACACACTTTAAAAACTTTATTTATATAAAAAACTCATTTGTTTTTAAAAGCATTAACAAGAGAGAAAGAAAAGAGAAAAGGTATGGAGCAGAACACAAGCCCCTTAGTAGTGTTCGGTGGGAAGGTGGGATTTTTGGTTCTCTGGAATTGAATGTTTAGTGTTTTTATAAACAAAAGAGGAAAAAAAAAAGTTAAAGGTCCCCAAAAGCCCATGGCTGTTCTATTACCCACACCCCACCGAGAAAAAAGAGCACCAGAAAAAGAGCAGAAGACAAGAGAAATCAAGAGCGGAGCCAGGTCTGGATGAGTCAATTTCCCCTGAGCAGTGTGCTCTTAGGGTCACAGAGAGCAAAAGGCTCCTTTTTGCCAGAAAAGGTAGATGAAAGTGGGAGGAAATGGGAAGTGGGAAAAAGGTAAATAAGGAATTTTAATGCACAAGTAAAGGGAGTGGTGGGTTGTGCACTTTTCTCCTACCCCATAGCCTCAATACATAAGGGAAGGGGAAGAGAGGAATAAAGAACTCCAGTTGCATGGAACAGAGCTTTTAGATTAGATTAAGGGGAGAAGGCAAATAAGGAAAAGGATTTAAAAAATAATAATAATCAACCCGCATAGCAGCTGATTTCTCTAGCCCAACCTGCTAATTAATATATGCTAAAGTGGGAGGGGGCAATACTGGAGAGAGGGGAGAATTGGGGAGAGATCAGTTCTCCTTCAGCAATAATGGTAAATTCTGGGCACCTAAGGAGTTAAGAGTCACACCACTCACTTCTCACCAACCTTACTTTGAGATTCATCAGAATAGGATTTTTGCAAAATCCTACCCATATGCTGTTGAGCAAAAGCTTGCTATGACTGAAATCATGGCTATACCAATCCCCACTGGAGAATTTGAGGTTCTCTAGGTCACTTCTCTTCTTTCTGCTATTTGGGGCCAACAGTAGGTAAGAAAGCAACAAAATATAATTTGCAAAATTATGAGAAATGAGACTGCAGAGGCAAAGAAAGGCACATGGAAGGGTGGGAGGAGATGCACCCCAGGCCAAAGGCACAAAGAAGAGGCAAAGCCAGGGGCAATCCCCACCTTTTAAGGGTAAAAGGGACAAGAGTTATGTACATCAAGTCCTTTAGTTTGCCAACCAATCCAGGGCAGAGGCAAGGGACAGGCCTATAAGGATAGGAAAAGGAGAAACGGGGGCGGGGGGAAGCCAGCTTTGAAGCTTCCTGCCAGTTTCAGACTAATTGCTTCATGTACATTCCTATGAGCTCTTCCTAGAGGTCTTCTTCATCCCCAAAACACATCTTTCTGCTCCTTCTAAACCAAAAGTCTTCCTTGCCATTCTCCCCTTTCTACAGCCTCTTGGAAATGGCCAGGCCAACTCAGCAGACATAACGCAGGGCAGGAGAGGTGGGTTAAGGACAGCCTCTGTTAAGGGGCAGCAGCAGTAGCCCAGGGTTGGCATGAGACTTGCAGAAGAGATGGAGTCTGTAGGTTCTTGATGGTCCCTGCCTTGGAGATGAGGAGAGCAAGGTTTCTTAATCCCAGTTCTAGGAGACCTTCACTTACTCAAGGGTCTTTTGCCAGGTGGAATGTGCCAATGTTGCCAGCCTTCTTTGCTTCAAAAATAGCCATTAGGAGTAAGGGAAGAGCTCACACTTTCCCCTCTCTAAAAGAAAAGTCCCTTCCCCACCAGGAAAAAAATCTTGATTAAGAGTCATCAGTTTACCAGACTGCTGGACATTGCATACACAGCATGTAACTTCCAATTCTTTCCATGGCTTCCAGTGAAGATTCCCATTCTCTCCCTCCCTCCCTCCACAAAATGCCAGGAGTTCCAAGGAGAACTGGCAAAAAAAGAACTAATCTGCAGCAGTTTCTCAAGATATGCAAACAACTGAATCAGGCTTCTTGGGAGAAAACGGAGGGAATGGGGAAGGGGGAGGCACTGGGGCAATTAAACTTCACCGGAAGAAGTTGGGAGCTGATGGAAAGAAGGCAGTCACTTGGGCTGTAAGGGCAGGAGGCAGCCTGGCAGTTGGCACAATAGTCCAGCGAAGAAAAAGGAAAATCATCATTTTGTCCATTTCACCACCAAAAAATAAAAGTACATATAAGCCCAGATGGAACGGAGATAGTGGTGCTAAATCTTCTGCTGTGGAGAAAAAAGAGAAAGAGAAAGATGTTAATGGAGTTAGGATTAAGGAGACCCCCCCTTAAAAAAGTTGAGCAAATCTGGAGAAAGGAAAGCAGTACATAATGGAAAATCAGATCACCAGCTGCATGTCCCAGACTCTTAAGAGGTAATAATCACAAAAGCAGAACCCCTCGAGCCCCATGTGGCTGAGACTAGTGTCTCTGGCATGATCAGATCAGCGTGATTGGCAAATTGCTGGCACACAGGGACCTCCTTCCTCAAGGACAATCTTGGGGGTGACTGAAGGACATACCATGGAGGAGTAAGACACCTGGCCCCCCTCATCATCCAAAACCAACACATCCAACTCTTCCTCCAGAGATTCCTGCCCCTCGTCCTGCTGTGAACACATGCAATTTGTTAGTATGAGTAGAGACAGGAACCTCATGAGCGTGTGCCAGACCGAGGGAAACTCTGAAAATTTGTAAACTCAAACAAAACAAGATAAAATAGTAAGAGAAGGGAAAAACATTCATAAACAGGCAGGGAGAGGAAGAAGGTGATGTTCGAAAACAGGTCAGTTTGTGTTAGTCATATCAGTAACACTTTTACAGACATGCTTCTTCCATGTGACCACTTAATCGCCCAGGAAATCCCAACATGAGTCAAAACTCCTACTTTTTACTAAAACCCCTACCAGAAAAGGATGCCATCTTTCTCTCTGTACTTTTTTTCATATTTCACAAAACACATAGGCTTCAAAATAGAACTAGCCTTAGACAGACAGCAGTATATAAAGAGAATTTACCATCAAGGGTGTTCCCTTCAATGGCTCCATGTCGCCTAGATCCCCCGATCGATCCAGTGTTCTATTGTGATCTCCTCTCTCATTTGGTGTGGAATAGTTGTTATCTGGTTAAAAAAACACACACACACAGAAATATGACATTCCCCTCTAGTGTACAATAGATATCAAGCAGATAGGTGTAATTAGGCACCATTTTTGGGAACTAAGCTTGCCAAATGCTCCAGAAAGGCATTAAAGTCTGATGGTCCCCAACTTAAAGAACTTGAATCTGGCCAGGCACTGTGATTCACACCTGTAATCCCAGCACTCTGGGAGGTTGAGGTGGGTGGATCACTTGAGGCCAGGAGTTCAAGATCAGCTTAGCCAACATGGTGAAACCCTGTCTCTACTAAAAATATAAAAATTAGCTGGGTGTGATGGTGTACACCTGTAGTCCCAGCTACTCGGGAGGCTGAGGTATGAGAATCACCCACTGCATTCCAGCCTGCGTAACAGAGCGAGACTGTCTAAAAAAAAAATAAAATAATTTCAATCTTGAATCTAAGAAGACAATGTGTATAAAATACCCAGAATATGACATGATAATAAAGCTAAACAAGCTGTCTGTCTGAAAAGGGTATTGGAATTAAAAGAGAGACTGAAATAAGCTGCAGTTGTTAGGAAGGACCTGACAAGAGAGAATAGGACTTAAGTTTTTGGAGATAGAGAATTTAGAACAGCAAAAGGGAAGGACATAACAGTAAGAGGTATTATATGAACAGAATCAAAAAACTGCAGAGTAAAAAGACAGAATAGCAAGCAGAACAGTCGGGCAGAAACAGAAGGTATCCATTCGCTCCTGAGAAGGAGACTGGGGTAGGAATATAATGGGCTATAATTTTAGGGACATGAACTTGAATGTGCAGTAAGGGGAGAGGTATAGAAAGATTTCTGAAGACCTTTGAGCATGTAGGAATGTGGAAAAAGTAGATAGATCAGATTTTATTAAATTTCCTTACATCCTTCAAAATGGAAATGATCAGCCAATGTTCTCCCAGGATGGTAAATGGTGACGGTGTCAGGAAAGAAACTATAAAGACAGCTCTCCTTAGCCCAGTGAAATATTACTCCACATCTTTAGGCAACTATTAATCACCTACCTAGCAATTTTGTGTTTGATCCCATATTGCTCATCTGAATTTCTTCACGATCAGGTTTCTTATCTGTATGAAGTCAGAAAGTTATCCATGTCAAAAATAACTCTTCGTAATCTGTACACATCATGAAAATTGCTCTCTGGTCCTCCTTCCTTCCCTTCATTCACACTTCTACTTAGCACCAACTATGTGCACCACAATGCCTGGCTAATTTTTAAGTTTTTTGTAGAGATTAGGTCTCACTATGTTGCTCAGGCTGGTCTCAAACTCCTGGGCTCAAACGATTCTCCCACCTCAGTCTCCCAAAGTATTGGGATTATAGGTGTGAACCAACACACCTGGCCCCTACAGACTCCTTTTGTTGTTGTTGTTGAGACAGAGTCCTGCCCTGTCACCCAGGCTGGAGTGTTAACGGCATAGTCTCAGCTCACTGCAAACTCCATCTCCCCAGTTCAAATGATTCTCCTGCCTCAGCCTCCACCTCCCAAGTAGCTTGGACTACAGGTACATGTCACCACACCCAGCTACCTTTTTGTATTTTTAGTAAAGATGGGGTTTCACAGAGTTAGTCAGGATGGCCTTTATCTCCTGACCTTGTGATCCGCCTACCTCAGCCTCCCACAGTGCTGGGATTACGGGCATCAGCCACTGTGCCCAGCCCCCTACAGACTCTTAAATCAAAAAACAATTCCATCTAAACTAGTAGTTTTCAAATTAGTTGGTCTCAAGGCCCTTTTACAGTCTTAAGAATTATGAGGATCTAAAGAACCTTCATTGGTGTGGGTTATATGTATTAACTGTTGCCATACCAAGAAGTCTAAAGTATCTATTTCACTTAACAGCAAACCTATTACACGTTATCACAAATGATCTTTAATAAAATGCTGTTCATTTTTGTACATCTTTTTGAAGTTTGGCTTAGATTCTCAAATCTGTTTCTGCATTCAATCTATTGTGATGTTACTGTAGATAACATATATCAAAAAAATTGAGCCTCACACAGATAAAAAGTTGGAAAAGAGAGGATGACTTTAATAGTCTCTTCAGATAACTGTGTTTATTCTTCTTTAATAGTATAATAATTAGTAGTAGTTTCTTAAAGGTTAGCAGTGATGTGGAATCTAAAACTAACAATCTCTTCATATTCTGTTTAATTAAAATCCATTGGTCCATCTTGCACTTTTATTTATTTATTTTTTGAGACGGAGTTTCGCTCTTGTTACCCAGGCTGGAGTGCAATGGCGCGATCTCGGCTCACCGCAACCTCCACCTCCTGGGTTCAGGCAATTCTCCTGCCTCAGCCTCCTGAGTAGCTGGGATTACAGGCACGTGCCACTATGCACAGCTAATTTTTAAAAATATTTTTAGTAGAGACGGGGTTTCACCATGTTGACCAGCATGGTCTCAATCTCTTGACCTTGTGATCCACCCGCCTCAGCCTCCCAAACTGCTGGGATTACAGGTGTGAGCCACCGCGACCGGCCCCATCTTGCACTTTTAATGGATCGATTATGTATGTGCGATTTTGACACATCATGCATTGGTCACTTACAAAATATTGCTACATCACATTATCCAGATGTTCAAAATGTTAACACACAGCATTATACACGATTTTGAAATCACATTCATTAGTATCAAGGATTATTTCATTAGAAAAGTCTTACTTATTTATTTATTTTTAGACAGTATCTCACTCTGTTGCCCAGGCTAGAGTGCAGTGGCACAATCTCAGCCCACTGCAACCTCCACCTCTCAGGTTCAAGCAATTATCCTGCCTCAACTGCTCAAGTAGCTAGGACTATAACTACATGTCACCATGCCCAGCACATTTTTTTGTGTGTGTGTGTTATTGTAATTTAGTAGAGACAGAGTTTCACCATGTTAGCCAGCATGGTCTCGATCTCCTGATCTGCCCACCATGGCCTCCCAAAATGCTGGAATTACAGGTGTGAGCATATTCATGTATTTTTTTAAGACAGGGTTTCGCTCTGTTGCCCAGGCTGGAATACGGTGGCACAATCACGGCTCACTGCAGCTTTGACCACCTGGGCTCAAGTGCTCCTCCTGACTCAGCTTTCAAGTATTTGGGACTACAGGCATGTGCCACCATGCCTGGCTAATTTTTTTGTAGAGACACAGCCTCATTATGTTGCTCAGACTGGTCTCAAACTCCTGGGCTCAAATGATCCTCCTGCCTCAGCCTCCCAAAGTAATGAGATTATAAGCATTAGCCACTGCACTCAGCCTAGAAAAGTCTTTTCAGTATTGGGAAGTTACCAGACTTACAGTGGCAAATAAAAGTTTTTCAAAACCATAATTTCTAATTGAAATCTCAGGCAGCAAATATTGTGTTATCTTCCTCAAAATGACAAGCTTATCGCATTCATTTTTGAGAAAATGTCTGCCAAATACACACGTCTGAATAATCCCTTTGTTTACCAGACTCTTTTTTCAAGTTAAAATGGTTTTCCATTAAAAAAGTGGTTAGTGTGGCTGGATGCGCCATGTAATCCTAACACTTGGCCAAGGCAGGAGGATCGCTTAAGCCCAGGAGTTCAAAGACCAGCCTGGCTAATACAGGGAAACCCCATCTCAAAATAAATAAATAAATAAACAATTAAAAAGTGGCTAGTCAAACTAATAACTGAAACAGTAACACAAGTATGTTTCCTTAAGACAACCATCATGCTTTGGTTGTCTTAAGCACAGAATACTGAAAAGATATATACTCAAGGGTAGAAAAATAATAAAATTATTTCTTTTCTTCTCCACTTAAGTGAAAATGGCTCTCTGCTTTTACCTACCTGCATGGCAATGAAAAGTACAATGACTCATTCAGCTTTGTGTCACTGCCCTGGTTTGTGCTAAGCCACCAGCAGGAAGCATTACTGCTTTCTGTGCCATCAGTACAAATGGTAACAGTTTTGGGACTCTCAGACCACACTTTAAAAACCAATAATCAAGGAAAAAGCCAAGTGTAATTAAGATAATAATGATCACAATATACACTTTATGTGAAAAAGAAAAAATTTATAAAACAAAATATATAATTCATCTGGGAAAAATGTGTTTGCTCACATGGTAAAAATGTTTAAAAAGATACTAATGGTTTTCTCCAGATAATAGAAACAAGTGATCTGATTTTTTTGTTATTTTTCTGGTTGTTTATATTTTGTAATTTTAAAATAGTAACCATCTATTACAATATTAGGTATTAAATGGAAATTTAAAAGGAGTAAAAATAAAGAAAATAGAGTAGAGTTCACGCCCAGTCTAATTACCTGTTTTGTTTTGATTTCTAATGCTTAGACCTACCTATTTCTGCGTTACAATCCCGGAGTGAAGAATTAGTCCCCTTCTCCAAAAGACCAGCTAATTCAGAAATAAATATATATCCTACTTCTTAGTTAGTAAGCTGCCTAAAGAGCAGCAGGAGTGGCTAAAAAAAGAGGGTGTGCCTTCTGGATACTGCACCTGATTTTTGGTTCCGGTCAATGAGAGGAAGAGTACTATCATCATATGAATGACTGCTCTGGCTTCGGGAAGCATTATTTAGATTCACCTAGAGGCACACACAAAATGCAATTATGTCACAGAATACTGAATTCACTCATATCTTATGCTCTAATGGGCATAAACCTCTAGGTTCCTATTCCCAAATAGAATTATGAAAAAGCAATTCATAAGTGTTGAATAAATACCCTACACAGTGAAACAAACTAGGATATTATGGCTTCTATCTGTGTTCCAGAACAGGAGATTACAAAGGATCCAAACATTGATACTATCAGAAGAAAATACAATTTCAGAAAACGGTTAAAACTCCCTCAAAAGGCAAAAGTCAAAAAGGCCATTATCCTTGATTATCACCTGCACCTAAAGTATGTTAAGACATAGTGGGAGACCTGAGCTGCTGTGTTGGCAACAAATGAATTACAGACACATCATCCTTTTGAGGAGTAAGCCAATTTTTTTTTTTTTTTTTTTTGAGACAGGGTCTAGCTCTGTGCCCAGGCTGGAGTGCAGCAGTGTGATCTCAGCTTACTGCAACCTCCATCTCCTGGGGTCAAGAGAGCCTCCCACCTCAGCCTCCTCAGTTGCTGGGACTACTGGCAAACAACACTACACCTGGCTACTTCATTTATTTTTATTTTTGATAGAGATGGGTTTCAACATTTTGCCCAAGCTGATCTCACACTCCTAGACTCAAGCAATCCACCTTTCTCAGCCTTCCGAAGTGTTGAGATTACATGTGAGCCAAACCTGGCCAAATAATTCTAATTAGGAAATATGGGTTAAAAATAGATTTAACTTGAGGCCAGGCACAGTAGCTCACACCTGTAATCCTAGCACTTTGGGAGGCCAAGGCAGGTGGATTGCCTAAGCTCAGGAGTTTAAGACCAGCCTGGCCAACATGGTGAAACCTTGTCTCTACTAAAAATACAAAACATTAGCTGGGCGTGGTGGCATGTCGCAGCTACTAGGGAGGCTGAGGCATGAGAACCACTTGAATCTGGGAGGTGGAGGCTGCAGTGAGCCAAGATTGCACCACTTCACTCCAGCCTGGACAACAAAGCAAGACTCTGTCTCCAAAAGAGAAAAAAAAAAAAAAAAAAAAGATTTAACATGATGGTGAAATGGAAGAAACCAAAGACAACAGAAGCATTCATTATCCTGGGGCCAAGGGAAAAAAAAGGTAAAAGTCTTGGTCTCAAGATTTCCTATACCTGAAAGTCTGATTTCTTCCATCCTTCTTTTTCCAGTGGCTTCCGCAGTTCCTTATATCCCCAGATTGTCTGTAATACAAGTGCTGCTGCTCGAACTTCTTTTTCTGAGCGGTTCCTTTGGAGGAAAGTAACACCATAAGGAATTTGGATAGAAGACCAAGAAAGAAGCTTGGAACCTATATCCTCTAATAGCATAAGACTATAAATACCAAAATAGGTTAAATCAAGTTTTTACTAAATCCTGTATTCTATTCCAAACGGTGACACAAAAAAATGTTCTATTATCAATTTATGGATCAACATTAAGATAGATAATAGAGCGATAGCTCTTCACACTTTACATGTAAATAAAGAAAAATTTCCTCTTTTTCTTAGTAAACAAAAGAAGAAAATAACTCTCCACTCACTCAAATTCTTCTGACTTTAATTTTAGGTGGTAAGCTCACCCTGATTTGTTGATCAACACCAGCTTCTCAATACCCTGTGTCTCTCGAAGCTTTTTGGCAGCCTCCAAGTTCTCAGCGATAACCTCATTGATGGTGTTCAAAATAGAGACCACAGTGTCCTCAGAGAAATTCCAAGAGGAGTTCTGCTGTCCTCCTGGCAGATTCTTTACCAAGTTAGGAATAGCATGTTTACCTAGTAAGACAGAAAGAACACATGCAGGGAGAAAAGACCAAGTCAGGTCATGAAGAGCCTTACAATATACTTAATCGCATTAATCATATCAAGTGTAGCTACTATCCATATGAATCAACTTCATTATCCTATAGAATTATCATATCAAAAGGGCTAAGGACCTGAAATGTCATGGATTTACTCTCCTACCTATTCCTTTATTTCTTTTCTATTTCAACCACATTGAAATTGTAAATACTGTATATTAAATAAGCTACACAGTCCTTTCAGATATACTCTAATGAAAATATCTTGAATATTATAATAATTTAATAGAAGAGTTCAAATGAATTTAAAATGTAAATAACCTGGGCTGTGCTACTAACTAGCTATACTAACTCTGGGCAAACTACTTAACTTCCATGAGTTAAGTAATTTCCTTATCCTATTAAAAAACTGGACTTTCATATAGTGGTGAGGATTAAATAAACATAAAAGTGTTTAAGAATGCCTAGTAACAAAGCAAGTGCTCAATAAATACTAGCAATTATTATTCTAAGAACCCATTAAACTAAAACCCTCACCAACTCTTGCACTCATAAACTACAAAGTAGGGGAGGGTCTTTCCCTTCAGTCATTTCAATAAATTCAATAAATTATTAGGCACCTGCAAGACTACAGATACTGTACTAAATTTTGAGGTAAGAGCTAGCATTCAACTCCTTACCAATTAATTCCTTGTTGCGAGCATCTACAGCCAGATTTCTCAGTGCTCCAGATGCAGCTTTCACCACCCGTTCATGTTCATTAGTCAGGAGGTCAGCTATGGCAGAAAGAGCCTTCTCTTGACGCAGAGCAGAGCGGATGTATCGACCATACTAGAGTATCACATTGAAAGGGGTGGAACAAATTATAAATGGCAGCAAACTACTTATCTAAGTTTTCCCATCTCCAAATCCATTTTCTTTTTTTCTTTCAGTGTTTTTTTTTTTTTTTTTGAGATAGAATTTCACTTTATTGCCCAGGCTGGAGTGCAGTAGCACGATCTCAGCTTACTGAAACCTTCGCCTCCTGGGTTCAAGCAATTCTCGTGACTCAGCCTCCCAAGTAGCTGGGATTACCGGTGTGTAGCACCACATCCAGGTGATTTTCATATATTTTTATGAATATATGAAGATGGGGTTTCACCGTGTTGGCCATGGTTAGCCAGGCTGGTCTCAAACTCCTGACCTCAGATCCACCCATCTTGGCCTTCCAAAGTGCTGGGATTACAGGCGTGAGCCACCACGCCTGGCCTTCAAATCCATTTTCTAAAAGGCACTTTACCGTCCAGCGCCCAGCACACAAGTTCTGGATAGCTCCAGCTGAGGCTTCTAGGATGGCAGGAGTCTTGCTCTCCTTGAGAAGTGAAATGTATATCCGAACCACCTCTGGCTGAAATAAGAGCTCATAGCCTGCACAAAAGAGAAAAAGGCAGCAGAGGGTGCTGATCAGTACCAACAAACCAGGCTCTAGCTGGCTGGAGTCCAGACTTAGTACTCCGGGTTGATGGATTTATGCTCCTATACTAACAGGTTCCTTAAACTCTCACACACCCTCAACAGCAAACTTAGAGGCCAAGTTCCATGTCTTTAGAATAACGAATCCATGGTAAGAGCAGAGCAAATATCAACTCATTACATTCAACTCCTCTCTTTCCTTCCTTCTTGTCCCTTCTCCCATAGCTTTGCCTTTGGTTCTACCATGAGAACTCAGAGGCTTCGTTTGGCTCACTGACAGCACTCAAGGTTAAAAATTCCTCATCTTGGGCTGGGTGCGGTGGTTCAGGCCTATAATCCCAGCACTTTGGGAGGCCAAGGCGGGTGGATCATGAAGTCAAGAGATCAAGACCATCCTGGTCAACGAGGTGAAACCCCATCTCTACTAAAAATATAAAAATTAGCTGGGCATGGTGGTGTGCTCAGCTACTCGGGAGGCTGAGGCAGAAGAATTGCTTGAACCCCGAAGGCGGAGGTTGCGGTGAGCCAAGATCGTGCCATTGCACTCTAGTCTGGGTAACAACAGCAAAACTCCGTCTCAAAAAAAAAAAAAAATTCCTCATCTCAAATCAACTGTTTCTAACTCAACCCAGCCATTCTTCCCACCTTTGCAATTACTAAGTAAAAGGGTTCATCACAGATTTAACATTTACAATTTTTATATCCATGGAGAGCTGTGAACTTTGGACTCCCTGTATTGATGAATACAAAGATCCAAACTTCTTAAACTATAAAAAATAAAAAGTATCTTTTTCTTTTTTTTTTTTGAGACAGAGTCTAGCTCTGTTGCTCAGGCTGGAATGCAGTGGTGCAATCTTGGCTCACTGCAACCTCTGCCTCCCAGATTCAAGAGATTCTTCTGCCTCAGCCTCCAGAGCAGCAGGGATTACAGGTACGTGCCACCACACCCAGCTAATTTTTGTATTTTTAGTAGAGATGGGGTTTCACCATATTGGCCAGGCTGGTCTCAAACTACTGATCTCAGGTGATCTGCCTGTCTTGGCCTCCCAAAGTGCTGGGATTACAGGCATGAGCCACTGCGCCCAGCCTAAAATGTATCTTTCTTGGTAAAGGAGCTTTGTTTAATAGTGAAGTTTAAGTCTCAGGCCCTGTATGGCCATTTATGGTTCCTAAATTTCTGCTCTAGACTATCATCAGGACCTTATTCTATCCTCAAGTAACCTGAATAAACACCTTAACAAGCAGTACTTTGTAAGTAACTGCTGTAATACTATACGGCTTCCCAATACTTTCACAATCATTTCAAATCCATAAGTTGGAAAAGACAGGAAAATAAACATATTACATAAAGTCTGCTGTTAGGTTACCAAATATCTTTGTACTATGTTTATGAGACCTTTGGAGACTGAGAAGATAACTTACCTCGAGCAGGACTTGTTCTTTTAGGGAAATCCACTGTATCATTTGCTGGATCCTCTATAGGTTTTTTCCCTATAAAAATGAAAAAGGGTTGGAGGGTGGGAAAGGTAAGCCAGTTTAAAAAATAAAAGATTTCACCTGGCACATTTTTCATTCTTCAGTCAGAATCTTTTGATCACAGATGTACCATGAGGGGCAAAGGGTGGGTGGGGACAACTTGTTCCAGAAGGGGACTATACAGAAACAAGGATAGAAAGCAGGCAGCAGATAGGTAAGATGAGGATGACCACTATCGATGCTATTGTCCTGAGTTCTGATAATGGGGACTGCTGCCAAGAAACAGCATGCCATGAGCCATTAGCTCCTGTTTCAATGTCTTCCTCAACTGAATTTTCCTACATGCATAGACAGGGAAAGGTTAGGCAAGGATATACTAGGGACGCTAAAACCAAAACATGCAAATTAGAAGTAGATAAGCACCTTAAAAGACTCCACTCACCTCTGGAGAACCACTCATCTTCCAGTGTATCACCCAAGGTAGAAAGCAAAGAAGAGAAATGAAATAAGAACAATGCAGAAGAAAGATGTCAGCAGGATCATGGGCAAATAAGCAGGAAAGCACAGAGAAGAAAAGAAAAACACAGAAAACACAAAGGACGTATGGGGAAAAAGGTCCCAGATTAATTGAGTTCTCATCCTCCACTGCCCCAGTCATTGATGCCACCACCACCACCACCCTACCACCACCTTGAATGAAGCACACAACACAGGATAAGCAGCAAAGCAAAAAGACATCTGTAACCAGGCAGACTCCCATACTGCTTGGCAAGTATTTTGTGCCTTAAGCTAAAAGTGTTCCTTCCTTTCCCTGCCCTACATTATAGAGTAAGAAACAGGAACCAAGACTCACCTTTGCCCTTCTTGGCCCCAAAGCAACTCGCAGCATGTGGCCCAGTATTGTTGGCAACATTGGGGGGTGCCTCTTGGTAACGCTCTGCCTGTGGGATCTCCCGGTGAACTTGATATGATAAGTTCCGAAGGAGGCACACACAGTTCTCTACAAGCTTAGGGACATACGATAAAAGGGGTCAATGAGAAAAAAGAATGTCTATTGTGATTTCTCCACAAGTACAGCTTTCCATGACTCAGGTATTAAAATGCTGATCTTCAAATGCATAACCCAATCCATAATTTCTCAGGATGCCTTTTTTTTTTTTTTTACTGTCAGCACAAAAACCTGAGTTACTCAGGATGCCTCTTTTTTTTCCCCCCCGAGATGGAGTTTCGCTCTTGTTACCCAGGCTGGAGTGCAATGGCGCGATCTCGGCTCACCGCAACCTCCGCCTCCTGGATTCAGGCAATTCTCCTGCCTCAGCCTGAGTAGCTGGGATTACAGGCACATGCCACTATGTCCAGCTAATTTTTTGTATTTTTAGTAGAGATGGGGTTTCACCATGTTGACCAGGATGGTCTCAATCTCTTGACCTCGTGATCCACCCGCCTCGGCCTCCCAAAGTGCTGGGACTTTAAGTGTGAGCCACCGCCTGGCTCAGGATGCCTCTTTAAGTGCTCCAGGCTTCTTGAAATCTCTGTGGCCTCAAGCTAATGGAAGGCCGACCTATGGACTTATTGGCTTCTGCTACTATTTGGTGTGTAACCAAAACTTGGATCATCATTCTTTCTACTTAGACAATGTACAGTTTTGGAAGACAGCTAATCAGCTTTAAAATATATAAATGAAAAAAAATTTTTTTTTTTTTTTGAGACTGAGTTTTGCTCTTGTTACCCAGGCTAGAGTGCAATGGCACAATCTCGGCTCACTGCAACCTCTGCCTCCTGGGTTCAGACAATTCTCCTGCCTCAGCCTCCCGAGTAGCCAGGATTACAGGCACGCGCCACCACACCCAGCTAATTTTTTGTATTTTTAGTAGAGACAGGGTTTCACCATGTTGACCGGGATGGTCTCAATCTCTTGACCTCGTGATCCACCCACCTCGGCTTCCCAAAGTGCTGGGATTACAGGTTTGAGCCACGGCGCCTGGCCAAGATTTTTTTTTAAAAGGCCAGGCATGGTGGCTCATGCCTGTAAATCCCAGCACTTTGAGAGGCCGAGGCAGGCAGACCACCTGAGGTTGGGAGTTCAAGACCAGCCTGGCCAGCATAGTGAAATCCTGTCTCTACTAAAATATAAAAATTAGCCGGGCATGGTGGCAGGCAACTGTAATACCAGCTACTCAGGGGCTGAGGCAGGAGAAACCCTTGAACCCAGGAGACAGAGGTTACAGTGAACTGAGATCACACCACTGCACTCCACCCTGGGAGACACGGTCAGACTCCGTCTCAAAAAAAAAAAAAAAACCAAAAAACATGTTTTCTTTTAAGTTGACTACCCACTTTTAAGGAGTATGGGCTCAGCTACGCATGGTGGCTAACACCTATAATCCCAATATTTTGGGAGACCAAGGCAGGTGAATCATGTGAGGTCGAGAGTTTGAGACCAGCCTGGCCAACATGGTGAAACCCCATCTCTACTAAAAATACAAAAATTAGCTGGATGTGGTGGCACATGCCTATAAGTCCTATTCAAGAAGCTGGGGCACAAGAATCACTTGAAACTGGGAAGAGGAGGTTGCAGTGAGCTGAGATCATGTCACTGCACCCCAGGCTGTGCAATAGAGATTCTGTCTCAAAAATAAGGGGTAGAGGCCAGTACAAATATTTAACATTACATGAAAGCCTGAGATGATAGGTCTCTGCACTAGATACGCCATAGTTGTGGTGAATGGAATTCACTCAGCCATTAAAGGTAAGCCAGCCCTTACCTTACTGTCTGAATCCTTCTGCCCAATCTCAGCCTGAACAATGAAAATGAGGGCATCGACTAAACCATCACATTCCCGAAGCTTCCGGCGAGCTTCACTCCTCTCTGAGCTTACATTCCTGAGGGGAAACCAGAGCTTCAAGTTGACTCAAATCCAGAAATCCTCCCTTAAATAAATATCCCTCAACACCTACAAGCTTCCTCAATAATTTTTTCTACTTACTATAATGATGAATACCTATTATAAGCAAGGTACTGCAATTGAGAGAAAGTTGATTAATAGTCCCTGCCTTCTGAATGTTTATAAAGCTGTGGGCTGGGGGTTAATGATATGTACCAGATACAATAACCAGATACAATAATAAGATGGAATAGATTCTTCTTGTATAAAAGTATAATACACATGTAGAATGAAACAGAGCACACAGAGGTGTATTCCAAAGAGAGACAGATTATATGGCAGCATTTATAGGATATAAAAAGAAGAATTCAGGAAAACTTTAATAAAGGCACTTGAGTTTAGCCACAAAAAAGATAAAGAAGAAGAGAAAGGCATTCACAGAAAGAAAAGACCTTCCTCGCCCATAACCTAGCCTCCTGGTACTCTGTACCCCTTTTGCTGCATTTATCACAGCCTGACTTGAAATATAGGTAACTAAGACAAGGGCATAGACACAGGACTAGACCACCTTACACATGGTAGATGCTGAACAAAAGCTTACCAAAGTAGATGAACAAAGTCAAAGAGGCATAAAAGTGAAGAGTATGTGCGGGGAACAACAAGCAAACTGATACAGGTACATGTGGTATACATGAGGGAATAGCAACAAAGGCAGAAAGACAGGCTGGAGTTATAGTATGCAATACAGATAGGAATGGAGGCTAAAGAACAGGCTAAATAATTTTAGTTTTAAGGAAATTTAAGTCAGTCCTCAAAAATTCATCTTCATATTCTCAAAACCCCAATTGTTACCTAAGGCAGCCAGCTGTGTTGGTGAGCACTGATTCCCACTCAATATGACGTGGCTTACAGTCTTCATTAGGTTCCCGCTCCCAGCCAGAATGAGGAATGATCACTTCATCTGTCAAGGCGTGCAGTGCGTGGTCCACAATCTCCATTTTGATTGAGTCATGGGATGAGAGATTCCACAGGGTTCCTGGGAGAGACAACTCATCAGATGGCTCTTGGGCACTCAAGCAATACGTTTGAAGAACGCCAAAGATAATTCCCTATTATATCATTTCTCAGTCTTCCCCAGTGACCAAATACCTCGTAGTGATATTCAAGCTTTGTTTGCAATCCTCAGCAAGAAATACATTCTACATTATAGTTCAGTATAAACATACAGATCATGAAATAAAGTTTTATAAAACTATACTTAACTATAAGCAATGCTCTCCGATCTGCCTATACCAGAGTTTTTTAACTTCACCATCACTGACATTTTGGGCCAGGTAATTCTTTGTTATGGGGAGCTGTCTCATCTATTGTTGAATGTTTACCAGCATCCATGGCCTTTACTCACTAGATGCCAGTAGCACTCCCTCTCCCCACTCCAAGTTGTAATAACCAAAAATAAATCCAACCCTGAAAATGTCCAAAAGTCCTCAGGGCAGGGCAGACAAAATGGCCCATAACTAAGAAGCAATGGTCTAAACTACTTTTTTTTCTTTATTGCTTTCCCTTGGAATGCTGATTATGCTCCACAAAATTTTTCACTCATGGATTACACTAATAGATCACAACCCACAATCTGAAAAACTCTAAATAAAGCACATATGAGGAACCACCACAAGCTCATATGTCTATATGGGCCAACAAGGTGAGTCAAGAGAGGCAGATATTTAAAAGAAATTACAAGAATGTGAAAAAATGGCAGCTGACACTCAACTCCATGTTTGGGAAACAACTTCCTAAATGGCTATAGTTGGTCAGATAATAGAATGTGTTGGAGATTAGTGTAAATTAGAAAGCACATGGTTCAATCAGTTCAGACCAAATACTACCAGGGAAGAAAAGAGATGCATGGTTAACAACGCTTACACATTTTTAATAGAAGATAAGAATCTGGAATTTTAAGTAAAATCTTCTGAATTTCTTTCTTTTTTTCTTTTTTTTTTTTTTTTTTTTTTTGAGACAAGAGTCTTCCTCTGTCACCAGGCTGGAGTACAGTGGTGCAATCTCGGCTCACTGCAACCTCCGCCTCCCGGTTCAAGTGATTCCCCTGCCTCAGCCTCCCCAGTACTTGTGAGTATAGGCGTGAGCCACCATGCCCAGCTAGCTTTTTGTATTTTAGTAGAGACGAGGTTTCACCACATTGGCCAGGATGGTCTTGATCTCCTGAACTTGTGATCCACCTGCCTTGGCCTCCCAAAGTGCTGGGATTACAGGCGTGAGCCACCGTGCCCAGCCAAAATCATCTGAATTTTAAACATCAGCAACCATTTCTTTAAAATTTCAAAATGCTGTATAATCCAAACAAATCTGTGAGATGGATTTGACCCAAAGGCCACCAGTTCACAATCTTTCTTTCGTCAAAAGTAAAAGGTCTGGAAATCCCTCTAGTTCTCAGTATCTCTAGAGAGTAACAGTGACTTAGCAATTTTCCTCAGGCCTAGAACTCACCAGTAATGACTTCGGTAAGGTCCATATCACGAGCCTTTCGGAGCAATCGCACAAGGGCAGGCACACCATCACAGTTTTTTATGGCAATCTTGTTATCCTGGTCACGTCCAAAAGAGATATTCTTGAGAGCTCCACAGGCTCCAAGGTGCACTTCCTTTTTGGGGTGGTCTAACAATCCCACCAGTATTGGGATGCCCTTGAGCTTCCGCACGTCGGTCTTCACCTTGTCATTGCGGTAGCATAAGTGTTGCAGGTATGCAGCTGCATTGGACTTGACAGCATCTAAGCGAAATCCAAGCATGGCGATCACCTCTGGCAGCTCAGGCTGTCTCCAATTAGGAGGTGGGGGCCCTCCTTTGCGCAGGCTATCCAAGCTTGCTAAACTTCCTCGCTCATGCTGGGCCAAAGGAGCCCAATAGTACTGATCTGATGGCACCTCCTCACCAATCATGTCTTCATAGCTCCTGAGAAGTTTTGGAAGAACCAAGAGAATACATCAAGCCATAATGTCTAGCTTCCTAGACATTCCCTCATCTGCAAAGCAGGATTAACCCGAATTTCAGAGTGCTGATCTTAGCTCTCCTTTGCATGAATAATATACTGATCAATTTTCCTCAACGGGTTAGGAAAAATAAAAGGTAATAATTTTAAAGGCACCTGCAATTTAATTAAAACAACATTTTTTTCTTTGAAGTCTGTAGGCTTAGAAAGTAACAAGCATTCAGGAGAGGTTAATCAAAAAGAAAGATCCAAATCCTTATTACTTATCATTTATTTGGGTGATATCTGACAGCTATTAACTTTTCTAGGCTGAGATTAGGATAAACCCTGAGACAACAGAGTTAAACAAAGCAACTGACTCAATGGCACAGAAGTCTGAGAACAGTTTCTTAACCAAACAGGAAATGAGGCATTTACACATAGGAAACAACTGGTGAGATAAGACCTTTAAATACATTTCATGTTTAAGCTTCTCCTTATCCTAGTTTGGAAATTATAAAAGATCAATTGATAGAGAAACAATAATAAAGGACTTCTTGCTACATCACAGGAGGACCTGGCTTTGGTACTGATGAGCTATAAACTTCAACAGTAATTTTCAGTCATCCCAAGGTCATGTCTGCTACTCAACAAATGTGTTAGAGATATGATTCCATCCTCCAATTTCTAAAGATAATACCTCCAGTTCTTTCAAAATGGAGCCTATTCACCAACATCACATTTGGGAAGCCCAGCCACTAGAAACAGACAAAGCAATAGAAGGTAAGAAAAATCAAACCAGGAGGTAATTCTTCCTGTTTCAGTACTACCAACAACCACTAGAGGGTGAGTCTGACACACTATTATTTATTCATAACTACCAGGAAGGAAGAAACCCATTATCTGTGAGCTCATCTTTCTGGCTCCCACAGGAGAGGGGAATCTACTGTGTGGAACTCTCCAAATAAGCTGTTGTTTGTTCTACAAAACCACTCCCACTGTCACCAAATACTCAAGGTTGCCCTGAGCAGAAGGCCTTCCTCACAGGTATCAACATCAACCACCCAACAGTGATTTAGATGGACAAAGCATTTAGTAAAACATGACCAAGATGATCTTAAAATAATGCGGAAACAGAGACAGGCATGGTGGCTCATGCCTGTAATCCCAACACTTTGGGAGGCCGAGGCGGGCGGGTCACCTGAGGTCAGGAGTTCGAAACCAGCCTGGCCAACATGGCAAAACCCCATCTCTACTAAAACTACAAAAATTAGCAGGGCGTGGAACTGTAATCCCAGCTACTTGGAAGGCTGAGGCAGGAGAATTGCTTGAACCCAGGAGGCGGAGGTTACAGTGAGCCAAGATCGCACCACTGCACTCCAGCCTGGGCGACAGAGGGAGACTCCACCTGGAAAAAAAAAAAACCACAGAAACAAAATGAATAGCTTAGATAGCTAAGTTTTAAAAGGTTATTAACATAAGATTCCATTTTAGTAGAAAGAAAATAGGATATAGTTACATGCATAAGAAAAAAACTCAAAGGATATGCATCAAAATGTTAACAGTGGTTCTTTATCAATAAATGGTATGCTTTTCCGGGTTTTTCAAGCTCTGTATTGAGCATGTTTAACCTCTATTATTAATATAAAGAATTATAAAAACAATTACCATAACCAAAATTTCCAGAGAACTCTATCTTATATCCTCTTCTACATAGAGGCAGTGGATTGGACATTCTTTCCTCTGTTTTACAAGTAACAAAGCTGTGCCCAGAAAGATCAAATGACTTGCTTGAGGCTACTTAGCTAGTGGCAAAGGCACAACTAGAACCAAGGTCTCAGGGTTCAGTTCTTTTTCCACTAATCACTGTCTCACTGTTTAAGTTTGACCTTGTATTACTCTCCAAGCCCGGAACAGGAAGCAGCAAAGGTTCTTGCTAGTTAAGCAGGTTTCCAAGTCCAGTGCTACCCTGGAACAGACCCAAGAACCAGGCACAAAACTCTATATGAACTACCACAACTAGGGACCGCAGAGAATGACCTGGCCACCCACACCCATCTGGGTCCAATCACTCTTTACTAATAAGGAAGTCAGAAAAAGCAGACTTGCAGTAGAGCCAACACCCTGGATAGACTGCTTCAGTGATGGCTGTTATCTACAACAGCTCTAGGTTGCATCAGCTGAGGTCTGGTGCTCCTATAGGAATAAAAATGAGTCACATGTGAGTTGGTTTAGCTATCCAAGACACCTGAAAGGTGAGTAACTCAGTCTTAGATAATGGGGCCTCTACCCCTGGGCCCAGCCCTGTTCACTGTTAACCAAAGCTACCTAATATGAGGAAAATGAGCACCAAGGCATTTGCATTAAAAGGTTATGACCCTAGACAGAGCAATTCGGCAACAGCTGCTGGGGTATCCTTACCATCAAGACAACCATAAATCTCCCTTGTTTCTTATCATTGCTCTTTGCCTGGAAACACTGTCTCTAATTTATTCTAAAGCAAGCATTGGCAGCCCATGGGACAAATCTGTTTTTGTACACACCCCCCCCCCAGAATGCTTTTTACATTTTTAAAGGATTGTTTGAAAAAAAGAACAAAGGACAAAGATAATACATGGCCCGCAAAGCCTAAAATAGTTCTACGTGGTCCTTTTTAGGGGTCTGCAGACCCCATTCTATAGCATTCTCTCAAGGCAACAAGGCAAACCATATACCAGTCCAAACATCAATCAGTCCCTTTTTCACATCACCAAAGAATCCCCAGGGACAAGTAGTAAAGTCAGAGCAGGCAGCTGCTTAGTGACCTTTCAGAGGGTTGCTACTATACCGCCAGACCTCCACCTAAGGATGTCACCACAATTATTTCACTTTACAATCAAATGTAAGACCCTAAGCATAGAGTATCAAGGCTCTTGTGAGGTCAAAGTTTGCTTTGGGATTAAAAACACCACAAGAAAGTTGGGGGGGCGGGTGTGGGTGGGTGTGTGTGTGTGTCTTTAACCGTCTCTTTTGGCTCTGGATCCCTAAAATCCTCAACTCTGTTTTTAATACCAAACCAGAAGCTGAAGAAATTCCCAGGAACAAGTGAGCAAGAATTTCACAGCCCCGGACATCAGAATCCTCTGCCTAACACTGAAAGGGGTCACAGCTTAGCCAGAAACAGCAGAAACTTCAGCACAGAAGCAAAATTCATTCTTCAGGACATACACTAATAACAATCACAAGTTGTTTTCTATAATTAAAACATATGGGCCAGGCATGGTGGCTCACACCTGTAATCCCAACACTTTTGGAGGCCAAGGCAGGCGGATCAGCTCTAAGGTCAGGAGTTTGAGACCAGGCTGGCCAACATGGTAAAACTCCATCTCTACTAAAAACACAAAAATTAGCCAAGCATGATGGTGCTTGCCTGTAGTCCCAGCTACTAGGGAAGCTGAGGCACGAGAATCGCTTGAACCCAGGAGGCAGAGGTTACAGTGAGCCAAGATGGCACCACCGCACTCCAGCCTGGGTGAGAAAGCAAGACAACTATCTCAAAAAAAAAAAAAAATTAGAATATATGATTTTCATTTAAATATATATATGTTTACATATATATATGTATATATGTCAGATATATATATGTATATATGTGTCAGATATATATATATCAAATCAATACTAAGCCAAGTAAGAAAAGGGGGAAAACAGGGTAGCCTTTCTCCCCAAACAAAGCAGAGGGGAGGAGGCCACAAGAATCTCTGATACCGAAAAGCTCTTAGAAGCTGAAGGAAAAGCTACCCCTTGTTCCTGGTCTTGGAAAAGGCCCTTTCACCTTCCCCCATTCTTGCCTACCTGAGGCGCCGACGAGGGTCAGAGGGTGTCCCAGTCCGACGGGCAGTGCCATAATCAGACATCATACCATAATCCAGGTCCTCATAGCCCATACTACGCTGGTCATCCTCTAGCCCATAAGGCTCTGGATGAAAGCGATGCAGATCCACGCTGCTCCCACCTACCCGAACCTGGGGTTGGGGCCCATACACATCCTGTCTACTTGGTGCCCGGTAGCCTTCCATGCTAGGCCTATACCGCTCCTCAATTCGGGTAACCCGGGACAGACTGCCATAGTTATCATTGCCACCTGGATAACCATCTTCATAGTGGCGGCTATATCCATCAGGAGGGTAGTGGAAGTTCCTGGGAAGGGTAGCAGTGCCTGCTTGCCCCACATAGGGACCAGGTCCCCCATTGCCATTCTTGCGGAAGTCACGACCCAAAGTCTGGATATAGTTGTTAGAAACTGATGAGGCATCCACAGGCAACCCATCTGGTCCCATAGGAACTGGCTGTACTGTCCGTGTGGTCACAGTCTTCACTACTTTCTTGACCTGCAAGTAAGCAACAAGAAAAAGAAAAACTAATGAAGGAAGTGAGCAATTAAATTCTAAACCACTCTAAAAGAAACAAACCCTTAGATCCCTAGGTCCTTTTACCTAGAAATGCTTTAAGGTCTAGCATCTATCTTTCTTGCAATCCTACAGGAAGTCCCCAAGCAGGAAAACTGCCCTGACAGTAATTATGCCTATAAGGGGAGCTGCTACAGACCTTGATATACCTTCTCTCTTCCCTGTTCCATAAGCTTTTCCGTATCTCTTCATCTTTCCTATCTGGCCAGAGATCACTTTCTTTATGTGGTCAGATCAATGATGGCATATCAATCCTCCATCTTAAGTGCTTAATCCCCTCCCCCTAACAAAAACAAAAAGACCTCTTCTATCATTTCCAGATCTTATACACATCTTAGTTTACCGTGGTCTCTGTGCGCCGAGTGGTCCCATCATCTGAGGTCTCCACAGAGACTACAGACATAGCTCCCTCAGGATCCTCCTGGGTGTAGGTCTCCACAATCTGCCCCGGTTCCTGCATCCTGGGGATAGTGCTATATAGAAGGTGACTGTGATCCTATATGGAAAAGAAAAGAGAGAAGAAACTACTGTTAAGCTCTGTGACCCTGGAGATAGGGACTCCTCATACATCTTCTATAGGCCTCAGGATTTTTAGATGGGTGGCTGCCATCTTTTAAACTTGTACAAAAGGACAGTAGACATAATCTCCCAGTTGTAGTCATTTAACAAACATGAACTGAGTTAACTATAGCCACATCAACATCCAAGTGACAGAGACAGTAGATTTAACTTCCCAGCTGTAGTCATCTAAGTTAATATGAACTGTGTTAACTGCAGTTTCATCTATATCTGAGTCACCCCTCAGAAGAGCAGCTCACCCAATAAAAAAAGAACTTTTAATTTATTTACTTGAGATAGGGTCTCACTCTGTCATACAAGCTAGAGTATGGTGTCATGATCATAGCTCACTGCAGCCCCAACCTCCCAGGCTCAAGCAATCTTCCCACTTCAGCCTCCTGAGTAGCTGAAACTACAGGCTCACACCACCACGCCTGGCTAATTTTATTTTTTTGTAGAGACAGGGTCTTACTGTGCTGCCCAGGCTGGTCTTGAACTGCTGGGCTCAAGAAATCCTCCAGCCTCAGCCTTCCAAAGTGCTGAGATTACAGGAATGAGCAAACCACACCTGGCCAAAATAAAAAACTTTTTTTTTTTTTTTGAGATAGTTTTGCTCTTGTGGCCCAGGCTGGAATGCAATGGCGTGATCTCGCTCACCACAACCTCCACCTCCTGGGTTCAAGCCATTCTCCTGCCTCAGCCTCCTGAGTAGCTGGGATTACAGGCATGCACCATCACGCCCTGCTAATTTTGTATTTTTAATAGAGATGGGATTTCTCCATGTTGGTCAGGCTGCTCTCGAACTCCTGACCTCAGGTGATCTGCCCACCTCAGCCTCCCAAAGTGCTGGGATTACAGGTGTGAGCCACCACACCCGGCCTGAAATAAAAAACTTTTAAGATAAACCTGAAAAATCCCAGTAAGAGCCATCTTTTGACTGGCTCTATGTCACTCTTCAGATACTATCTATCTAAAAGGCTCAAGACCAGCCAGATTTTAGGTAGGGTTTTCTGCTGCAAAGTAGAAGCCTTCTGTCTCTAGAAAAGAAACATAGTGCTTAGGGATCAAATGGGGTGGCAGTGGGGAAGAAAAATAGTCATAAAGATCAGTGGTCATTAAAATTCATTTCAAAACAAAACTACATATATACTTTGAAGCTCCATTTCTTTGTTTTTGGAAATGAAAAAAACTAATTAATGGGTGTGTACAATGTGCCAGGCACTTTACAAGACACCAATATGCTCTCACGGGCTGGGGAAATAAGAAAATATGAATGAAGCAACTCGGGTCTTGAGCCAAAGAATTACCTGGGGTCCGTTGAGTTTCAAATCTGAAAATTTCTGTCTCTCAAGGTCAGCATCGCCCACAAACCGGCCGTTCTGAAACACAGCCCACAAGAAGACAATTCATTTTGTGTCCTTTTGTTCTATCAAACACAAATGATCTTTTTTCCAAATAGGAAAAGGGCTTTCAAGATAGGTGTGGCCTGGAATCCTTGTGTCGGTACTCATAAAAGAACCATATCACTCATTAGTTTAGCACTTTCCTCAAAATTGGAAACGCAGGCCTGGAACTCTGGCAGACAGGGTCTCTGGAACATAAGAATGTAACCTCCATGATGGCAGAGGGTTTTCTGGGATAAGTTTAGTTTAGTGATGTATTCCCTAGTGCCTTTAGCAGTGCCTGGCACATAACAGGTGCTCAAAAACTATTTGCTGAATAAATAGCAGAGACCAAGATAAGTTCCCCTATATGCAGCCTTTTTGGAAATCCATAAGAATGTAAGGAAAGTTGGAAAGGGTAACTGGGGGAGTTTCCAAAGAGCTTCTTTATAGTCTCATGAATCTTCATGCAGTACTACCACTGGAAACTCCCATTCCCAGCAGCTTTTTAAAGAAAGAAGCAAGATGGCTATCATGTCCTAATGTAAAAAAATACAGAAATTAAAAAGAAAGAGATGAGTCTCCCTTTCCAAGTACAAAAACAAGTACCCCAACTCCCCTCAAGAAAACAGAAGGCTCAACATCTTTACCAACAATTATTAGAGCCACAGAATACATTCCAAAATGTCATCCAGAAGTTGCTCTGACTTAAGCAGCAGGAAATAATCTAATGACATTATACCACATAAAAATACATTTGCCTGCTCCTCTCCCAGTAGAACAGTGAGATCCAACCACCTTGGGAGACTCTCTTCCTCCACCCCACTCCCATTACATAGAGAGTGTAATGCTGCAGAGAGAGGAAGTTAAACATTACTTTCAGGAAGAAGGAAGGGTGTGGTTTTACTGCTAAGCAGAAGTTAAAAATAAAGAGAGAAACCACATACTGAATCCTGGAATTCCCCAGCACCTCTAAGCCTGAGCAATCGTGCTTTCTCCTTTCAATATAATCTTATCCCTAACTTTCTACTATAGTTCCTGTAAAAATCCTAGGAACATTGGAAGCATGCTGCCTCCCTCAAATTCCTTTATCCCCCAGTTGGAATTCTGTTATCTCACTCAACTACAAGGTTCCTCAGTATGAGGGACTTTCTCTATGTTAAAAAATAAATTACTCAATAAAAAGAATGAAAAGGACTATCAGGGCAAGAGCACTGTTCTGGTTCCCACCCAAAGATCTCTCATAAAATACAGTCTATCAGGCAATGGTGTACACAGATGCGCGCGCACGCGCGTGCACACACACACACACACACATACACACACACAAAACAAAAAAAAAAACCTCAGACAGATTACATCACAGCAAAGTCAGACTAGAAAAACCAGAGGAAACACAAGATACTTCTCATTTCTAACACCAATCTCCAGAGTCACATCACAGAGTCAACCAACTCAGAGACCACTGGCTCCTGTGGTTATTTGGGTTAAACAGCAGCATGATGCTCCCTCTCCAACTCTAACCAACAGAATTAACAATGACCCCTTCCTCCAACACATGATTTACACAGCCAACAAAAAGAGCCCACAAGGGCAATATGGAGCAGGAGTACACAATTTATGGACACTGCCACACCTGAGTACAGACTGTTCCCTCAGGGAGACTGAACTAGAGCTGAGCGCACAGGATGCCCAACCACTAAGTGGGCATTTACTTTCCTGAATTTTTGATACGAAGAAAAAAAAATCAGTAAACAAAAGTAACTTGAGTATAGCTGCAATACACTATCTACCATTACTAGAATTGTATCCCACCCCAGAAAACCTACTCCAGCAAAATAGGAAATCAGATGGATGCTTCTAGAGAAAGTAAGCCCATCCAACTCAGTCCAGCAGCAATATTCCTTGTCTCTCAACAGCATTTATCAGCCCTGGAAAAAAAAAAAATCCCTGGAAGAACGGGCACTGGATAGCTCATCACCAAAAGGAGAAAAGCTTCCCAAAAAGGATCATAGCCTCTCTGTGACCATGCCAAAGTCCTACCTGCAGGTCTGATGGAGAGAGGGGTTACCTGATGCCGGCGGGTGAGTGTGCCGTTGGCCACGAGTGGGTTGGCATCTTGTGGTGAGACCCGGACGCGCTCCAGCTGCGCCGAGACGTGGCGCCGTTCCTCCTCCAGCGCCCGGGTCAGCTTCTCAAACTGGGCCTCTTGTTCCTTCACAGAGGCCAAGATGCTGGCGGTCGACTCCACCTCTGAGTCGTCCATGAAGGTAAGGGGAGGAGCCGCCGCAGGGCAGGGTAAAAAGGAAGGTGAATCACAGAGGGAGGAGAAGGAGGGAGAGAGACCCCCTCACTTCACACTACCGGGAAAGGGTAAGAGAAAGGAGAAAAAAGGTCACAGGTCAGAGAAGACAGATGAATTATTAATCCCAGAGCCAAAGATGCCCTCTCGTGCTTTTACCGCAATGCAAAAAGCAAGCCACCGCCAAGCCTGGGAGCCCATCACCAGTGTTTGTTCAAGTGGAATCCTTTGCCCACTACGCTTTCTTCAACATCCCACCAGAAATTACTATTTAAAGAAAGGTGCAATTAAATCTAAGTCTATATACTGTTCGGAGTGGGAGAATGTGGCCAGGTGCTGTAGTTATGAGACTGAATTATTTTTCCCTGAAAAAAATCTGTTGGTATCAACTCAATGAAATGTGTAACTCTATGGTACAGACAAGCATTCGCTATCCTGCAGGGACAAGCCACTTTTAGAGATAATAGGGCAATACAGATCTTACTTAACCTCTCCCAAAACTAACCACTAAAACTACTTTAGTAGCAATAAAATTTTTAAAAAATTACTATGCTAGATTAAAATGCCAATTAAGAAATGAAAGTAGACTGGGCACAGTAGCTCACACCTGTAATCTCAGCATTTTAAGACGCCAAGGTGGGCGGTCACTTGAGGTCAGGAGTTCAAGAGCAGCCTGGCCAACATGGAGAAATCCTGACTCTACTAAAAATACAAAAATTAGCCAGACATGGTAGCAGCCACCTGTAATCCTAGCTGAGGCATGAGAATTGTGTGAACCCAGGAGGTGGAGGTTGCAGTGAGCAGAGATAGTGCCACTGCACTCCAGGCTGGGCAACAGAGCAAGACTCTGCCTCCAAAAAAATAATAAAACATTCATAAAATGGCCTTTCTACTTCCAAAACTACACTACTATAGTTTGCTAAATATAAAACTGATGCTAAAATACATTCCTTGACTAATGGACAACAGAGTAAGAGAACCACAAAAAACTCTACATGTAAAAAAAACACTATCTTCAAGAAACTACCTCTTTGGGAAGTAGGAAGAGGAGTATTAGCCTCAGTCTCTGAAAGTGCACCTCACAGTAGTCATATCCTAACCTCCACACATCAATGGCAGGAAGTTCCTACATCTCTATAATCCTGCAGAAAGCTCTAACTCGAGCTTTTCCAAACCATGGTCCATGGGATGCATGCAGCCCAGGACAGCTTTGAATGCAGCCCACCATAAACTTCTAAAAACATTATGAGATTTTTTTGCAATTTTTTTTTTTTAGCTTATTGGCTAATCTTAGTGTATTTTATGTATGGCCCTAAAATTCATCTTCCAGTGTAGCTCAGGGAAACCAAAATATTGGATGCCCTTGCTCTAAATAGACTATCTTTTTACCCCCTTACTTGTTCCAACTCAGAATAAATATCCAAGTATCTAGAGGGTTTTGCGTGCTATCTATACAATAAAAGATAGTTATATAGAAATGAAGAGTTCTCTATACCATCATATAAACAGGAGGTTTAAGAGGCATTAGTCATACCTTGTTAGACTCAATGGGTTTTTTCTCTCTTATAGCTATGAGAGACTTTATGCCAGTCCAAAATACACAGTGTTGAAAGACAGGTTTTGAAATAAATCTTCTCCCCTATTCCCACCCTCTTGCCAACCCCTAAAGAAAAAAGGTATTTAAGAAGATTTTTTTCTGCTATGACATGATAGGAATAAAAATTTATATTTCTTAAAAAGATTTTAATAAACATATTTCCATACACACCTGTTAAGAGAAGGTCGAAATTGATTGGTTTAACACAGAGAACTGCCCAGTCTAGATTCAAATAATCATGGAAGAAGCATCCCAGCCACCACAGCAAGGAGGAAGCAGGAAGGAGAGAGCTGCAGAAATATTTGAAGGAAAAATGGGAATGAGAGAAAAATAAAATATACCCAATACATAAAAACAAGAAGAGCAAGGGGCAATAATCGGAATGAAAGAAAGTAATTTAAAATATGACTTGGAATTGTTTAACGTGACAAGTGCCATTTGGACTTTGCTTGGATGTTGTTTTCATTAAAACCTGGATTCTACTGTCATGTGAGAGTTCCTCTACCTGTATTCCCATATATAACCAGGAACAGGTTATAATATGTACAAAAATCCATTTACCCTGTCTCCAGCAACCAAATTGGGGAAAAAGAAAAAAACTGCTGTTGGAATGTCCTTCCCCCTCCCTTCCCACCCCTAAGGCAGAAACCTCAAAGCCCAGTCCCAGCATGCCCACAAAGACATTGAGAAACCAATGCAAAAGTTCTATGGGGAAGACATGTGGGGACTGGCCTAGGCTGAGCCTTTTGCTTCAGTTCCCTTTCCCACGCTCCCCAGAGCCCCACCAAGCACAAATGCTTGGGCCTGTTTGTGTATATGGAATTCAACAAACAAGAGTACCCCCCCCAAAAAATGATAAATAAGTGCCCAATAAACGCCTGAATCAATCCAGTCCCTAAATTTAAAGAATGTGGTAGCTCTTCCCTAAATTCCTCCTACCCCTGCTCAGAGTTCCCACAACCACTTATCAACTCTTCGTCCTTTCAGTCCAAAACCCACTGCCACTTTCTCATATTCCCACCCTACATTCCAACAGGCCACTCAAAGGCCTTTCTTCAATAAGCACCTTTATTTAAACAAAAAAAAAAGTTGCTCCCCTTTCATGTCCATTTCTTATTTTTAAGTACTTGCCCTTATCCACTATGTACAATGACCTATGAACCTTCCACACCAAGAGGACTCCGAGCTCAAAAGAGATTCTTCCAGTTACTGAGTTTCAACGGGGTCTGAAGTGCAATTACCACTATAGCACCCTCCACCCTATAATCTTCTTTGCTAATAAAAGCCGAAATTACTGCTACCATGGGGGATACAGTGACATTCCCTGCTACAAAGAGAAAGTGTATAAATGACCATAAATGGTCCTGCAACTTAAATTAAATGAAGAATTAGGAAGGAAGACAGAAAAAATACTCAGGGCTCTAGATCAGAAAGCAGTAACTGGAGACACATTAGCTTCCACCATCTTCATGGCTTTAAAGCTGACCACCTGTTTCTAATTTGGAAAAGAAGACAGCACAATTAAGCAAAAAGATCAGATTCCTAGGTCTAAAAGCATGGGGAGATATTCTACCTGAAAGAGGTCAGAAGCAGAGGCTATATGGGATAGAATACAACGCAGAAGACTGGTCCCAGTTCTGGTTCTACCACTACCCAACAATGGCAGTAAGCTCTGTCATGTTCACTTGTAAGATGCCAAATCCATTTATCCTGTTTCCAGGAACCAAACTGGGGAAAAAGAAAAAAAGATTGCTGCTTCCCAGGAGTTAGGAAGTTAGCCCCATCTAACTCAAAGTTGTTGTAAGGATCAGGTAAGACAATGTATGTTATATAAAAATGCCAGGTATTAAGTGTTTCAAGAGTTAGTTTAACTCTTCCAATTACATTACTTCACAGTAATGTCTCAGCCTCAAACTATTTTGTGAACTAGTAGATGAAATCAACTGGATCAAAAACATAACTAGGTTCTAAGGAGTGAATGGGCTGGTTTTCCTACTCCAAATCTATTTACTAGGAGGTCCCACCTATATATACCAGTGTTTCTGGTACAAAGGGCACTTCTCTTGTGCTTGGAAGGTCATCATAGCATTACACATCCGTCATAAGTTCTTGATTCCGTATTTGAGGCCTTAACTATTTATTACCTTGGAGAGACGGAATGTGAAACAAACTAATGATTACTGAATGTTTTACATTTATTACCTTGGCAATGCTTACAACAACCCTAAAGAAGTTTTACTGCAAATGAGATTCATGGGTGAAGAAACTACCCAACGTCTCACAGTTAATAGCAAATTTTGAATTTAAATCCAGGTCTGTGCCATTCCAAAGCCTGTGTTTTTCTATGCCATGCTGTCAGGTCCAAATAGAAGTGCAGTCAGTACAAGATGGATGGTCCAGATCCTCTCCTCTACAACCTTTGAGAGCTTTCTTCTCAACTGTCACAGGAAAACAGGGAAAGAAAAGGGTTCAACTTTGTTTTTGTTTTTTTAGGCTCGAGAGTTATTGATAATATCTGCATATAAGTGAGAAAATAGAAAAAAAAATGGAAGGAAAAAGAAAGCATGAGTGGGGCAAGCTACAATAAATGGTCTCATAACTTGGAGACTCAGGGAAAAAAGATCCTTCTCCATGCCATATACATCAAAAAGATTACACTACAAACCATCAGCTGACTTTGGCAGACAGAGCCAGAAGAGTCTTACAAGTTCAGCCCATACCGGGTTTGCCACTTGCGTTTTCAATGACACTTGCTCTCACCAAAAAAAAAAAAAAAAAAAAAAAAGACCATCAAACAATTCCTGAAGTAAGGGTGCTGAGGAGACAAAGTGAAACTTGTTATTCCCCCTTAAGACTAGATTTTCTGAGAATGCTTAGCTTTACTCTTAAGAAGCCATAGGTCCTACATTCCTAAATTCCACCCACACTAGAAAGATCTTCCTGCTATTACCCAGAGTCCATAGTCCATAATAAAGATCCCTCATCCAAGCAATGATGATAAAAACTCAGTCTCGGCCGGGCGCGGTGGCTCAAGCCTGTAATCCCAGCACTTTGGGAGGCCGAGGCGGGTGGATCACGAGGTCAAGAAATCGAGACCATCCTGGTCAACATGGTGAAACCCCAGCTCTACTAAAAATGCAAAAAATTAGGTGGGCATGGTGGCGTGTGCCTGTAATCCCAGCTACTCAGGAGGCTGAGGCAGGAGAATTGCCTGAACCCAGGAGGCGGAGGTTGCGGTGAGCCGAGATCGCGCCATTGCACTCCAGCCTGGGTAACAAGAGCGAAACTCCGTCTCAAAAAAAAAAAAACAAAAAAAAACCTCAGTCTCTTCTCTAAGAACGCCATACCAAAAGAAGTTAAATTCAATCAAATACCCGGAAGGTTCAAACAACCAGACAATGCCAACCAGATAGGAAGGAAAAAAAAAAAAAATCACTTAACAGTCGGACATGATGGCTCATGCCTGTAATCCCAGCACTCGAAGAGGCCGAGGCAGGCAGACCACGAGGGTCAGGAGTTCGAGACCAGCCTGACCAACATGGTGAAACCCCGTCTCTACTAAAAATACAAAAATTAACCAGGCATGGTGGCAGGCACCTGTAATCCTAGCTACTCAGGAGGCTGAGGCAAAAGAAGTGCTTGAACTGGGGAGGTGGAGGTTGCAGTGAGCCAAGATTGCGCCACTGCACTCCAGCCTGGGTGACAGAACAAGCCTCCATCTCAAAAAAAAAAAAAAAAAAATCACTGACCAATAGCATAGTCCCTAGAATGATTTCTTCTACTGTAAATTGGCTAAAGAAATACAATTTGGAATTATGATTCTTAAAGGTTAAGTGTATAGGCTTTGTTACCTGCCTGGATTTAAGTATCAGATCTATCACTTATTAGCTACATGACTTTGGGCAAAGTATCAACCACTCGAAACTGCAGCTTTCTTTTCTGTAAAATGGAGGAATAAAAATACATAGGGTGGTTGTGGAGATTAAATAAAGCATTTCATGTAAAGTGCTTAGAAAAATGTCTTGACACACCGAAAGCCAGTAATATTGTTACTATTATAGAGACTAGAGCTTGGGGTGTGGTTGGTAGAGTTTCTGAATAAACCAGCCTCCCCATGCTCCCCTCTTTCATTTGCAGCAGACCTGAAAACTACAAGAATTCTTCACTTGTAGAGGGAAAACAAAATAAAACTCAGATTAGGGGTCAAAAGTCCACTGTCCAATTCCTGGCTCTGCCAAAAACTAGCTAGGAAACCTAGTTATAACCCCTGTAAGCTTCCATTTCTATTACTCTTCAGGGTTTAGTTTTAATGAACTAATATATATAAAACCATAGGCTGGGTGAACTCTAAAGTTCACCAATCTTTGCGCTTTTGGGGAAGAAATTTTGTCTTCAGCAGCCAGTCCCAAAGGTAACTCTCCTCCTTTTTTCCTATCTATTCATTATAAAATCAAAACCAATGTCACAGCCCGCAATGGTGGCTCGTGCTTATTAATCACAGCACTTTAGGAGGCCAAGGTGGGAGGATCACTTGAGGTCTGGAGTTCAAAACCAGACTGGCCAACAAGGGGAAATCCCATCCCTACTAAAAATAAAAATAAAAAAATTAGCCAGGCATGTTGCACACACCTGTAATCCCGGCTACTTGGATGGCTGAGGCAGGAGGATTGCTTGAACCTGGGAGGCAGAGAGTGAGCTGAGATCATGCCACTGCACTCCAGCCTGGGTGACAGAGCGAGACTGTCTCAAAAAACAACAACAACAAAAAACAGTGTCACAAATTTATGCTCTCCCTCTAAAAATGATGACAGGCAAAACTCCACTTTCATGTCATTCTAGAGGTTTTTTTTTTTTTAAAGACAGGGTCTCTTGTCACCCTGGCTAGAGTACAGTGGCGCAATCACAGCTCACTGCAGTCTGGACCTCCTGGGTTTAAGTGATCCTCCCACCTTGGCCTCCCACTGTGCCAAAGTGCTGGGATTACCAGCATGAGCCACTGTGCCCAGTCATCGTAGGGGTTGCAAATGGCTTTTTTTCTTTCCTTTTTTTTTTTGAGACGGAGTCTAGCTGGAGTGCAGTAGTACAATCTCGGCTCACTGCAACCTCCACCTCCCTGCAACCTCCACCTCCCAGGTTCTCCTGCCTCAGCCTCCTGAATAGCTGGGATTACAGGCGTTCCATCACCACACCCAGCTAATTTTTGCATTTTTAGTAGTGATGGGGTTTCACTATGTTGGCCAAGATAGTCTCCTGACCTTGTGATCCACTCACCTCAGCCTCCCAAAGTGCT